CTGCTGGCTCATGGTTAACCTGTCGTCCACCAGGACACCCAGGTTCGTTCTGCGTGTGAAGGGCAGCTCTCCGCCTGTGCCCTGGCAGGGTGCAAGCAGGTAGTAGGTTAATGTGTCTTCTCAGTGCTGGCGAGGAGTCCTGGCACGCACGCTTGCTTTTTTTAATACGTGTGGAGCTCTTAAAGGCGGCTCGCATGCTCAGGAGGAGGTTGCCAAGTGATTTATTGGACGCAAGAATTTTCGGTAGCGATTAAAATGAAAAAGGGGGTGGGGGGGGAAAGATGCTGCTACTCTGTATTTTAGGAAAGAGCATCTAGTTCAATTGTAACAGTCATTTCAAACTGGGGGGGAGGTAAACCGTGCTGCCCAGAAGCCTTAGCCCAGATCCCCTCCATAGGATGAGCTGCTGGGTATCGTTCCTTTCTGGGCACGTGGTCGCTCTGTCGTGGTGCCACTGAGGAAGCTGAAAGCAGTGCTTCGAGGTAGCTTTTTTTCACCAGTGCTGGGAAATCTTGAGACCACTCTGGGTCCTTGACCTGCCCAGGAACCAGCGGTCAGTCATCCCAGTCAAAAAAAGAAACAAACAGAAGAACCTTTTTGATCCAAGTTCCTCTGCCCTGCAGAAGTGCCTCGTGTGAGGAGCCTGCGAAGAAAGTGTGCTGGCTTACGTGTGTGGTGTTCTGCAGGCACAGACAATTAAAATCCCTGCTACTTTAGGAGAGATCCAGGTTTCCAGTTTGATTCGGGGTCAGATAATCTTTTCGAATGCTCATGGCAAGATGTTTGCCTCCTGTTTGTCACAGTAGAGGGCTGCAAAACCGAGGCCTGAAAACACCAGTGGTTCTAACGTTATTTATGTAATTTGTTTGCTCCTAATCTGCCCTCGCTGATGTACGTCGTGACTGTTAGCCTAAAAAGAAACAGAACTGGATGTGACAGTGCTTCAGGTTATCTGAGGAAGGCTGTGCCGTGCCGAAAAGACTTTTCTCTGCGTTCAGGTCAGGTGGGGGTTTGGATAGAGAAAAATGAACGCTCAGATCGAACAGTGAGACCTTTCTGCTTGTGTCCTTTTAGGATTCATTTGGCCGATGAAAGGTTCGGGTGCCTTTGAAGTGTCTGCGGCGTGCGGGGAGCTCGCTCTCCCTGCCTTTGGCAGAGAGCGGCGGGGAGGGCGTCTCTCCCCGGCAAAGCCGGGCTGGAAGAGAAGGGTATAGCCAGAGAGGGCTGGGCCCTGTGCAGGCCTTTACTACGAGTGGAGTATTTGAAATTCAGGCTCAAGGTAGTGAATTGGAGGGCAGAGGATCAAGGGCCTGAGTGAGAATGGGATTGCACAACTGGGGAAGGCAGCAGGGCTGGGACCGCAGGCTGGCGCTCGCAGGTTGGTGCTCGCAGGTTGGTGCAGGGCCAGGAAGGCAAGAATTTCTGTTTTGTGGGCGTTTCATGGGAGGCTGTTACTACACGTTGCTATTTTTAAAGATATTTTCTTTTTTTTTTTTCTTTTTTTTTTTTTTTTTTTGTTTTTTTGTGGGTTGGGGCGG